TTGCGTGTGTGTTTGTGTTTGCGCGCGCGCGCGTGTGTGTGTGTGTGTGTGTGTGTGTGTGTGTGTGTGTGAGTGTGTGTGTGCGCGTGCGTTTGTGTGTGAGGGAAACAGAGGGAGAGATGGAGAGAGAGCGAAAGAGAGAGAAAGAGTGAGATAGAGAGAGATTGAGAGAGAGACAGTGAGAGAGAGAGAACGAGAGAGGGGAACGGGTGGGCGGATGAGAGAGTGTGTGAACAGATCACTATTGGAACTACATTCTACACGCTTTATGATTTTATGTAAATGCAATTACATTTATTATTATTATCTTCTTCTTCTTCTTCTTCTTCTTCTTCTTCTTCTTCTTCTTCTTCTTCTTCTTCTTCTTCTTCTTCTTCGTCTTCTCTTCCTCCTCCTCCTCCTCCCCCTCCCCCTCCTCCTCCTCCTCCTCTTCCTCGTCGTCGTCGTCGTTGTTGTTGGTAATGTTGTCTTACTTAGGGAGGAAATATGTCCGGTTAGCTTTCTAGAAGGTTGCAGGCGCCATATTGGAATGTGTAGCCTACTACATGTCTTCTTCTTCTATCCCGTGGTTGGAGCAACCGTGGAGCACCACTGCATCTTGCAACCAGCTCTCGCCATTTCTCTCTGTCCTCTGCTTTCCTCAGAATGTCACCCATCGTCTTCCCTGTCCACTCTGTAATTTTGTCCTTCCATCTCCTTCCCTGCCTTCCCCTCTTTCTCTTTCCTTGTACGGATCCTTGTAGGATTGTTTTGGCAAGTCTTGTGGATCTTGGGACATGCCCATACCATTATAATTTTCGTCTCTTCACTACAACATGTAATAACTTCGTAAAACGCACAGTCCAAACATCATGACGTGTAAATTCTGAAACAAAGCCGCGGACACCACTGCACTCTTCCGCACCAGGAGGAGAAACTGGTCAATAGAGAAGAAAAAGGGGAGGAAACTAATGATCCATCTGGATAACTCTAATTGTCGGCAAGCTGTTCAAATGTTCTAAGCCAAGAAAGCAACATTTTTTTCAGGAGAGAGGAAAATCTGTTTAAATCTTTTAACAAATATGCCTACTTTATGTAGGATTCTATTAACAAAAATGCCTACTTTATGTAAGATATTTTAAAACAAATATGTCCACTTTATGTAATATATTTCAAAACAAATATGTCTACTTTATGTAAGATATTTTAAAACAAATATGCCTACTTTATGCAGGATTTAAAAAACAAAAACAAAATTAATATACCTACTTTATGTAAGATTCTTTTAACAAGTATGCCTACTTTATGTAGGATTTAAAAAACAAAAACAAAATTAATATAGCTACTTTATGTAAGATTCTTTTAACAAGTATGCCTACTTTATGTAGGCCCATCGATTCTTGCTTTTTTTACATTTTAAGTTTGGAATTTAACCAAATATTTCTTGACCACATGTAACGGATACCACTGATAAAGAAACTGTGATTGACGTTTTTTTCCTCTCAAATTTGGGCTTAGTGCATCTGAACAGATGGCCGTGGGTGGGTAACGAATACTCTTGTGTGGTTGGCTTCTTTTTTCCAATCAAACATCTACCGTCCTTATCTCTTCTCTTTGTTTTGTTTGTTTGTTTGCTTGTTTGTTTTGGGGGGTTGTTGTTGTTGGTGGTGGGTTGGTTTGTGTGTGTGTGTGTGTGTGTGTGTGTGTGTGTGTGTGTGTGTGTGTGTGTGCGTTGTTCTGTTGTAACACTTCTGATCTTCGACACTTATATTATGATGTATTAAAATCTTTTGTATAACAAGCACCGCAGAACTCTCACTAAGAACTAAGAACATCTTGCTGACGAAACAATATAGAGCCCTTATTTCACCGTCTGTCGACTCCTCCACTTCTGTGGGGAGAAAGTGTCCCTCCTCTATGGGTATTGCACCACTGCTCACAGCTCCGCGTGTCGTGAGTGGTGCACGTTTGCTGTCTGCTGAAAGAAGCAGCCGGTGTTGATGTGTGCGCGTGTATGAAGGATGTGAGTCGTGTGTCGTGAGTGAGCTCCCCACTGGCACCATATTATCGCCCGGGATTATCTCCATAGTCTTTGAGTATAATATTATCAACAATATTATTTTTTATTATAATATTATAATATTGTTCTAAAAGATTTCCATACATTCTCAACCCTCTGTGGAATTCTATCCACAATCTTTGAGTAAAATATTATCAATGATATTATTTTTTTATTATAATATTGTTCTAAAAGATTTCCATACATTCTCAGCCTCTGTGGAATTCTATTCAAGTGTCGCTCTATAATATATGCATGATATTTTCGACTCGCGAAGTCCGGTAAGCTAACAAAACCAGTGTAAAGAGTACACTTAAAATAAAAGAATAGCGATATCTTTTGAATGAATTGTCTTTTGATGATTCCAATGCTTGACGGATAGGGCCCTGTTCAATGACAGAACCCTTGTTTATTAAGGGGGGGGGGGGGGGGGGGCTAGATCTACACCTGATGGCTATCTCGTTTATTACTGGACCGAATTTTACCAAAGTTCACACATAAAACAAGAGTAGTAAGGAGTCTTAACAACTCAAATTCCATGATTTTGAGCCGAGTTTTGACTTTGGGGGTGTAGCCCCCCCCCCCCTCCTTAAATCTCGTTCGAACCATCATTAATTTCCTTAGAACTACCATTCTGAAACCCGAAAAGTCTATTGAAAGACATGTACATGACAGGCAAACCCAACACTAACGAAAAGAACTGCGCTTATCCCGATCTTCGAATAACTATTTTATGGTGCCACTTAACTTATGTAAGCCCTACCTCTTCAACTTGAAAAAAAAAAAGCAAAGGAAACAACAGCTACATAAGCAGTGAGTTAGCCCAAAGACATTAAATTGTGGTTAAGAAATTGTTGAAATTTCGAAAGTGTTTAACCGTCCAACAGACTGTGAGTCTTTCTTGAAGACTTTACTTCTTCCATCACCAAGTCAGTGCCAAGATGGCGTTGCATAAAGCCCTCGCAGACAAGTTCCGGTCATGGCGGAGGTATTTTGTCATCGCTGGCGGCATCCTCATCTATCTCCCAATTGGAGTCCCTTGGTACTTCGGTAAGTCAACTTTGTACGGGTAAAGGGAAGCACACAGACACGATAACTTGTAGTCATTTATTAGTGCGAATGGGGAGGAAGACATACAGGTAGAAGCAACTGAGGGTAAGAAAAGAAATAAATATGACCTACAAAATGGCGCCTTCCTACCACTTGGTAATATATTAACACAACAGAAATAGAATGGGGTTTTCCTACTTAAACTGAAGCGTATAAGCATTGCAAAACATTATGCTTTTTTAGGCAAAAACTGGCAATTGTTTTCTCAAAAAAAGTCTCAACTCTCTTTTCTAAAACTCCTTCAAACACCCACTTCAAGGTACAGAAACGCTCATATACGTTTTTGGACATTGTTCGGGTAAACGTCGTCTCAAATCTGTTTCGTCCAAAGAGTGCACTTTAGACAAAGTAATAGTTCTCAGGCGACGAAATGTCCAGGAAATATAATAAATTATAACGTCAATTTTTAAAATAATTTCCCCCCCAAAGAGCAATTTATTTTTAGGTGCCCCCCCCCTTCCGCGCCATTTACTGTTCTGTGAGATCTGCTGTTCCCCAGTAGTTGCCCCAAGTCAAGGCAGATAACCCATGTGTTTGATTTTTGTCTTCTTGTTTGTCTGTTAGGGTCTTTCTTTTCACTAGTTGAGGCTGTGTCATGCCATTGTGTTCGTGCTTCCGTCTGTAAAGATCTTACTTCTACTAAAACAAATTTTCAAAAGAACTCTTTAACCTTCGGCACTTACATGACCTTGATTCTAATTAATGTTAAAAGTCCTACTAAAAATACTAAAATTGGAAGCACCGGAGTTCTCTTGGGTGGTGAATGGGGCTGCAATAATTGTAATTTCAACTGGGGATGTAAAATGTTACAAAAGCGTAAAGGCCAGGAAGAGAGTCAAAATCCCATTCACTGTCACTCCCCACCCCCACCCCACCCCCCTCCTCTCCTCTTTAAACAAAACCATTAAAAAATTTGTTACTAGCACACACAGAGACTACTTTATATGTGAAGCGTGCTGACAAAATGAGTTACTTTTCTCGGATTCGAGCCCTGTGGAAATAGAATCATCACGCTGAAATAATAAAAGGCATTTTATGCATAAAGAATATGGCATCATTAAAAAATCTACAAATTTAAACTTAGTATCGATTTTTTCCCCAATATTTATCTATTTGCGGATTGCGAGAAGTAACTCATTTTGTCAGCACACCTTACATATGGTCCACTCCTACGTAAGCAGTCAGAGTGCTCCATTGTCTTTGCCTGGGTGCATTCCCACCAGGCAGACGCTCGGAGTTTCGCTCCAGAGATTGAAGCTTTAACAGAAAAAAAAGAATTTATGAGGCAGCGGGGTGGAATCAGACTCTCGTCAATTTTTGGGCCTGTAGAGTTATTGGCATCATCTTAAAGTTTGTTCACTTGTCTTTATTTGAATGAAAAAAATATCCATTTATCTTGAATACAAGTCGAGATATTTGCGAATGAAGGAGGTGGGGGTCACCTTTTTTTCCAGAGGTAAAATAAATGAGAAAATGGCCTCCAAAGATTAGTTATTTCCTTAGCTTAAGAGTCCGTGGTAACTGAATTTTTTTTTTTTTTTTTTTGTGGGGGAGGAGGGCTACAATAGTAATTTCAACTGGGGATGTTAAAAATTACAAAAGCATAAATCTATTAAAAGCCAGAGAGAGTTAAAATCTCAAAAACTGCCACCTCCCC